TTAAAAGTTCTATCGAATCTTGAAGTTATGCAACAATAAACTGAAACACCCTGTATATAAAAAAAACATGTAAATATAAAAGAATATGAATTGGTAGAAGGAAAGCTAAGGAAACGTTTCATAAAAAACAGTATGTTACGACGTGTACAGGGTGTCCCACGTAAAATTGCAGCGATCGATTACTCAAATTAGTTGTCATTTATGAAACTTTGGATATACCGGAAAAAATTAAAACGATTTTGTGAAAATTGGGTTTCTTTTGGTACTGGAAATATAGTAAAACAAACAAGATGCCGCTTAGAGAATTTCTAAATTCAAAGTACTGCCGGTAAGAGACGAAAGAAAACGAATTTTTTCAAAATATATTTATTTTTTCATGGCTTTATTTGTAGTGGGATTTCAAAATATAGATATACAGGGTGACTTCGAAGTTGAGTCATTTATTTTAACAGTGAGTAGATCTGATCAAAAGAAATGTTTTTTTCCTTTACCATTTTTCTGGTAAAATTAAAGTAACAAAGTTATAGCCCTTTGGAAGTTTGAATACCGCTCTGTCTCAATAATAATATTATGTGCTCGGATATAATCCGCCTTATCGGTTCATCTCATCGGAAATAAAAAAGCGAAAGAATTTGGAACGATGTTTTTACAATTATTTTATTCAGTTGTATACAGTCAGTGTCAGTCGGTAACGCGTGAGTGAATAGTGGTGTCTGTTGCGTGGCTCAAACGAAATAAAAAATGGCACATGTTTATGCGGATCGGTGTCCCAATCGAGAGCAACCAACCCCTCGTGCCTTTGTTAATGTAGTACAACAAAGAATTTGAAACGTTTATCACGATGTTAGTCAATGTGTCAGTCGGTAACGCGTGAGTGAATAGTGGTGTTTGTTGTGTGGCTCAAACGAAATAAAAAATGGCACATGTTTACGAAAATGCTGAACTTGTGGACATGATTCTTATTTACGGGGGAGTCTTTACAAAATGCGAATCGGTTTCCCAATCGAGTGCAACCAACCCCTCGTGCCTTTGATAATGTAGTACAAAAGGCTCGTGAATCAGGTGACTTAAGACCTCACAGGGGACGGCATGCCGGTGCTCCAAGACCTCACGATCAAATACAGGTCGGCACTGAAATACTTGTCGGGAGGATACTTTATAAAACAAGGTAAAATTTTTATTTTATTTTTACACACATATTTTGGTTTATCTTCCTTCTATAATCATTATCTGAAAATTAATGACTCAACTTCAAAGTATATATACCAATGAGGTTCGATCGAACCTCGAACCTCATCGGTCCGGTTTTTTGGTCGTCGACTAGGTATATGTTCCCTTTCACGGTCGTTTAAGAACAATTTCGGCAACAATCTCGCCGACTTAGTAAGTAATTATATTTTTTCCTCCTAATTGCTTATTGTTGCTATTTTTCAAAAATTGTTTTTTAGCTCCAGACGATGATGGCATAGACCATCGAAAACTCGAATTCAGGTTATAAGAGTGTTAATAAGTTATGATATAAGAATACAAAATATAAGATAATTTCCTTTATTTATGACTTGTTCCGGAACAGTCAAGGCAAAAGTGGGGATTTCCTTCACAACTGTCGCAATATGTAGTTACTTTTGGAATTTTATTTCTTGGTCTTCCATTCCTAATTTTTCTATTATAACATCCTTGTCAATACCGTCTGACTTCATGTGGTTTTCCTTCTTTTTTTTTCAGTACATGTCGTTTCCGTCTTGTGTCAGCTTTTGACGTAAACGGTATGTTAGACACATTATATATTGGAAACATGACTTTGGCCTGATGGAAACTTTTCTAACTCATACCTATAATCATTCACTTGGGAGAAAGTTCAGATGACTCTGATGAAGAAATTCAATAATTCATACTTTTATTGAAATTATTTTCTATGTGTGCACCTTAATGTAGATTGTTAAATATTTATATAGATAAGTTACAAGCTTGATATTTATTAAGGCGACATGGATTTAAAAGCTTGAGTGTAAGAGCATTATCATCAAAATGTATTTTTTGTCTAGTAGAAATTTATTTAGTCCCATTTCACTCCAGGAAGAATTGAGCATTTTTATTATTGAAGATGGCTCTTCTTAAGCTCTCATAAGCTTGTCACGTATCCACACCCAATGTTAAATGTTTCATCAAGCGATTCCCACGTCTGTAACGCAACTTAGACCAGTCAGCTTACTTCCCGCATTTTCGAAGCGCTTTTGGAACGGGAAATGAAGATACAAATATCTCAGTATATTTTCAGTGATGAAATAGTTCCATCAATGCAGTCTGGATTCAGGGAAAACCATAGTACAACAACTGCTCTAGCCAATGTCACTGATGATGTTATAAGAGGCCTTGATCAAGGAAATATCACTTGTTTAGTTCTGCTGGATTACACAAAAGCTTTCGATATGATAGACCCTAAAATTCTGCTACTTAAGCTGTCTTACTCTGGTTTTACTGATGCTGCAGTCAATTTGATCAGCTGCTATTTGTCAAATAGAAATCAAAAGGTCTTAACAGCTTCGAAAATGTCACAGTCAACTGCTATAAGTTTTGGTGTTCCTCAAGGTTCTGGGATCGTTACTTTTCTCTCTGTATATATCGGATTTCCATCAATATGTCCATAATTGCACAATCCATCACTATCCTGATGATACTCAAATTTATTTTAGTTTTCAACACAAAGATTTTAAAATAGCAGAAGCATTGCTCAACGAAGACTAAACAATGCTCGTAGACTCGTGCTCGCATAACCTAAAAATTAATCCATCTAAATATTCAGTTATGGTTTTCGGCTCAAAAAACAAAAGAACATTGATCGAAACGGAAATTAACCTTAAAATCTATGATTTCCGGCTTCCTATAATGAATGAGTGTAAAAACCTGGGACTCTGGATTGACACAGAACTAAAATACAAAAAACACGTGAATTCGTTATGTAGTGCATCATACTGCATTTTGAAACAGTTTTATCTACATAGGCAAATAATATCTACTTCAGTAAAGTTGAAACTGTGTGAAACATTAATTATATCAAAGATCAGTTATTGTGACAGTATATATGGCGCAGCTCTATCATATAGTGAACAAAGCAAATTACAGCATATTCAGAATTCGTGCGTCAGATTTTCTTGCGGAATACGAAAGTTTGATCATATTTCTCATAAATTTAAGGAACTTGGTATTCTGCAGATTAAAGGCATGCAAAAGCTTCACTTATTGACACTCACGCATAAGGTCTTAGCTACCAAACAACCACAGTATTTGCATAATAAGTTAACACGATGTAGTGACATAAATCAACTGAATACAAGGAATAGGAATATGTTAGTGATACCCTTACATTCTAAGGCTGTCTACAAAACATCATTCAGCTACAATGCTATTAAATTATATAATCATCTCCCTGTTACATTCCAAAACTATACGTTATTTAATTTTAAAAAGGGGCTTAAACTAAAACTACAAGTCGAGGTCTGATGATGAGTACAAAATGCTAGAAATATGGACTATTCTTGTAATTGTTCTGTTTTTTTTGTGTTGTTAATTATTTACTAATTATTGAGAATTATGGATACATTTTTATTGGTGGAATGTTTTATTATATATACGTATATAGGTGAAAAATTAAAGCTTCCACTTTTTGTTGGGTACTTCGACAAAATTTAAGCAAAGAGGACTCTTTATACTTTTTTTTTAATTCTCTCTAGCTTCCAATGGACTTTGCCATCATCATCAGGAGCTGCAATTACAATGATAACAGTAGCAACAAAAGTGTAAAATGAATTTAAATTGAATCAACTTACAGTAGTATGTGAGGATGTTGCTAATTGTTGTTTTCGTATAGGATGAGGGAAACGTCCAGTAACATGGTGAGAGCTGGATACATGGTACAATGGTTAAAATTATATAAAATATGACAAGACAAGTTACTGACAGATTAAAAATTATTTAGAAAGCATTAGAGCATTACGTCGTGAAGCCACTTGATGATTGGTCATGGAATAATGAGTGAGATGAACCTTTGATAGAAGGCCGAAGGTAGTCAATGTCTGTGTTGAAAGATGGAACGAATTGTGGGCGTGTGCCAATACGTTGCCAAATCACTTCAGATGATGTGATTTTCAGAATGTTATGTAAGAAATTGTTAAACCGACCAGAGGCAGTTGAATAAAATATATTTTAATTATATAATAAAAGCGGAAGCTTTAATTTTTCACCTAACTGGTCTAGACGACAATGACCACGTCTCAAGTTATATATATATATATAAAGAGAATATGATCATGCGGAGAAAAGTATATAACAACAAGTAGGAAAATGATGGGCAAAATCCGCAAAAAGGAGGAAAGTGGATTCGAGCAGAAAATAGGATAGGTAACCCGAGCGATACGTATTTCTGCTGGTTGGCTTCATCAGGCCCGAAATGAATGCATATATGAAACTACAAAAGTAGATACACATGACCACATGTATATATGTATATACATATATTTTCTTTTGTTAAGGTTAAGTTGAAAAACGCTAATCTTAGCGACACTTCGCCTTTTTTGTACTTTTACTTAGGTACGAAATAAAGCCCATTTATTTATTATTATTATTATTATTAAGTTAGCAAATAGGTGTGCTATTTTGTATTATATTGTAAATTCCGTATGCATTTTTTATTTCTACTTTAAAAAACATTAATTGGCGTGTCATATTCTACCCATGTTAATGTACTACATTAGAATAATGAGATAATTTTGAATCCGTTTCCCCCGTTAGGAAAATTAAGATCCGTCCACGGTACAGAGACTCGATCTGTTTACTTATTTCATATGGCGTTGATGACGTAACCGCCAAGCACAGTGACAACAACTATACTTGAGCTGTGAATGAAATCGTTCTCGCTTCAACATGCTTTAGTTCACGAAGTGATTTTGAGGTAGTCGACATCGACATTGTTTAATTAATTAAAAAAATTATAGCGTACTTACTCCAGAAAACAGTGAGAGGATGAGAATAGAAGCACCTATAGAGCCCATACAATGCCAGCAGATGCAATGCAAGGAATCCCAAGGCATTTTTCCAAACAATCTTCCTCTTGAAACTGTAGTCGGTCCCGATTTCAGCAGGCAGCAGGCCCTTCACGGTCGCTTTCTGCCCTTGCGTAGGGTCAGCGGGCGCCGCCGGTTTTTGGTCACTGGTGGTCATTTTGTCCAAGTTGTGTCCAGCACCGAGTCACTGCAAACAATACTTATTGCTTAGATTTTTAATTTGATATGGAGTGGCGACAAAGTGGCATCAAAGTGGGGCTGCGAAGAAGAGGCGGTTTAATTGCCCTTTTGTTTTCGGCGAAGCGTCATGCTGAACTGCAGCCGCTCTTTACTTCAGTAGATTTGTGGAACTAGATATTCAAACTGTGTACAGTGAAAAAGTTTATAAAAAAATAAACAGTAGAGGTGGGGTTTTTGCGTTTGGTCAAGCCCAACGCCGAAATGCTAATTCTCTTCACTTCAGTTCATTATGGGACAATAGAATTAATCATAAAAATGGCGCCAAGTAGGTTGACTCTATACTTGCTACTCCTTCGTTGGAGAGTTCAAAGAAAAGTCATGAGTCAAATCATTTCAAAAGGCGAAATCGAATTGTGATCAGGTAGGTTCACTCAGGTACGATGACTCTTCAGTCTCTGTATACAGGGTGTTTCAGTTTATTGTTGCATAACTTTAAGATTCGATAGAACTTTTAAAATTAATGCATAAAGTCTATATAAACATGGGTCGAAAAATGCGTGGCTTCCAAAATACAGGGTGTTTAAATTTAGTTTCTAAAATAGTTTTTTTAAAATATTTCGAACAATATTTGATGTATAACAGTGAAAATTGGTATACAAGGGTTTTTTGGTACGACAAAACGAACCATGGGCATAGTTTTACTGTAGCCGCTAGAGGGCTCTCTCTACTGTACCTGTAGTGTATTAAAATGACCGAAAATTTTTTTTTAGTGCAATTTTTTGCTTTTTGAATAAAAAAAACTGATTCTTCGCACTTTTCAACATAAAAAGCTGTCTTGTGAATTTTCGTTATAGTTAGCCGTTTTTGAGATATTTCGATTTTTAAGGTTCGATGCATTTTTAATTATTTATGATAAAATAACGTTAAAAAGTCAGTATCTCGATAATTTTTAGAAGTAGGCTGTGCCTACAAATAATTTTGAAATAGAAAGCAGAATAAGGTTAAACGTCAATTAGTTGACATTTAGTTTTGTTGTCTGTTGAAACCTGAAACGTTTTTTTGCAATTGTGAATGCACGAAATTTAGTTTCTTTTACCTGTTTTTTTTTTGTAAGTTTTATAAAAATGCCGTTTTTATTCTGCAATCAAGAGTTAGCGGATATTCATTTTGTGTATGGCTTTGCAAATGGAAACGCAGCAGAAGCAGCCAGAGAATATGCACGAAGATTTCCAAACAGACAACATCCAACTCGCTCAATATTTGTAAGAGTGCATCGCCAAATAATTGAAAATCGTTTTGGAAATCTTCAAAGGGATCAATACATAAATGTTCGTCAGCGCAGATTTACCCGTATGATTCTGCGTGAGTTTGATAGAGATCCGACCACAAGTGTTAGGAGAGTTTCTGGTGCCTTGGGAATTTCAGCAAGCCATGTCCACCGTGTTCTTAGAAATGACCATAGACGTCCTTACCATTTGCAACCTGTGCAAGGACTACAGCCAGGGGACTGAGAACGAAGAATCACATTTTGTCAGTGGATTCTTGATAGAACTGATAATGATAGGGAGTTTTTAAGTAACGTTTTATGGACCGATGAGTCATGCTTCTCTAGACGTGGAGTGGTAAATTTTCATAATCAACATATTTGGTCGCATGAAAATCCGCATGCAGTTCGGGAAAAAAATGTTCAGCATGAATTTAGTGTGAACGTGTGGATTGGTATCTATCGTAATCGACTATTTGGACCCTACCTTTTGCCTGCAATGTTAAATTGTTTTAGACGTAAATAGTTTCGTCATGTTTAGTTCATAAAGGCATATTTTGGTACAAATCTTGAAGTGGGCCAACTGAAGTGGGGAGGGGCTCGTAGCTATAGAAAAGTCCATTGTGCGTTTTGGTATCCTTTGGTATCCCAAAAGCTGTCCCTCTTTGACATCACTTACGTTTACAGCAGAATCCTTACGATTTATACGTATTTACGAGTATTGTGACTTGTGACAAATGTAAATCTGAGTAATATATTATCTATACAGATTGCACTTGAAAAGTAATTTATGTTCTGTTTGTAGCTCAATAGTAATTTGAAAAGTGTGTAAAGCTTGACTGATTTTGTTCGGGGTTGGTGTTGCAGCGAAACACTATGTTAGATGAACGCCTAAGTTGGAAATAGACATTTATGATATTTGTTTAGCGGTGCGCCTGAGGCCTGTCCATCGATACTCAAAGTCAGTACCACACGTGCCGCATCTCTTCCCGCGCATGTGTCTATTTATGTTGCTATATTGAATTCGTTTAAATCACAGAGCTTCTGCACCTCACGTGAATATGTACAGCTCTGTATTCCTGTTCTTTTTTCGTACAAACATACATTATCAAAATAATTACGATCTAACAGATATAGTTTTTTCCAAAGATTTCCAACATTTGTACATGCGATCGACACCGATTCGATAACTGAGAAAACAATAAATATGCCGTAAATCTAAGTTCGGCAACGAAAGTCTGAAGAATAACCGTAACATCTATATTGAATTTCAAAAAATAATTGACTATACCTATTGATATTTTTATCACCTGCTGATATAATAGAAGTGCTTGATTGTGTCAGTATTTGCACCGATTACTTGATTGGTGTAATAGGCAGTTCACAGTTTTAATTCTTAAGCTTAGTACACACTAGTAGACCCCGTTGCGCAACTTTTCTATAGACGGTCTGGAGACGGTCTCAAGACACGATCTATACGTTAGATGGTCTATAGACATCCTTCTTTGTCTCGTCTGGCGTCCATGCGATAATGTGAATTTTTGTCCCTCAGACTGTTTTTTTTTTTCGGTCAACAGAACAATGAAGTTTTTAATGTTTTAATCTTTAATATTATTACTCTAGTTAGTTATAAATGCCACGTACTTATCTCGTTCGCATACAATAAAATATTTCCTTTCTGAGGCTTTCTGAGCATTTTCCATGTTTGTTCTCAAGCTGCCATCGACCAGATAGAACACAATGGATTCAAGGAGCAATAATAGGATACGAGTAAATTCTAGAAGTTCCACTGAGTTTGAAAAAATACTAGCCCCAAATATTGTGTATACTCGTATATTCGAAATAAACAATTATTATATTCTCTTTCTAGTATTTACCCATAATGAATCTGCATTTAAACAAAAAGATTGCTTCTGCTATTAGCATTATTTACTTATGTTTTAGCGATATTTTGTAATATTTTCAAAAAGGGTGATTTTATTCTGATGAATATAAAAGAGTTCCTGAAAAATTAGTTATAAAAATAAAAATTAAATGGGTTTCCGTATAGAATTTTCTTTGACCTAAATTTGAGGTTAGAAACCAGATATCAAGATGCAGTCTTCTTGAGCTTGTTAAGACATCATTTAGCTACTTTTTCGTACAAAAAACATATCAATGCTTTTGATATTTTTGATAAAAGATCATTTCTGTCGGAACGTCGAAAAAAGCCCTCGGGCGGCCACATGTGAAACTAACAAAACTTCAAATATTATAACATTTGTAGCCAAAAGAATAGCTAGTTTCAACTAGCTAAGTTTGTTGAAATCGGCTCTGCCGTTTCGAAGATACAGTGTATGTCTTATGGAAACCTTTGAACCACCTCACTTTTAAAGATACAGCAAACATTGCCAAACACATTATCCTCGACTTCAAGGATCAGGTATTTTTCTGTTAGGTTAGAAAAGCGGAATTCACAGGAACATCACTTTTTTAGATTCAATATTGCAGTTACGACACCTAGCGGTCACTTCAGAAACTTGAAAATATTTACCATTGGCCGTTTTAGTGATACTTTTTCTTGCCGCAAGTGAATAGGTTCCCTCGTATTCTTAGTTGACCACCCTGTATTCCTAATACCCAAATAGTGCTAAAATATGTAAATGATTCTTCTGGTGTGTCAGTGACAACGCCACCGCAGACCGGTTGGAGTTTATTCACGACGATGCATAATCGCGCCATGCACGCAACGATAAAGATGCCAAGTTATTTCGACTTATGAACACATTATATATCGGACTTTTATAATTTAATTTGCCCGTTATTACCGGAATCAGAAGTTTCTAAATTCCCTACCCCCTACGATTTCTAACCCCCCAGTTTCAACCTATATTTTTCTGCAAATGACCGGGAACCTCTGAAATATCCAAACGCGAATTTTCAGCGATTTTTAACTAGGCCGATCTTCAAAAACTACAAAGTTTTTTCGTTTTCGAGATTTCTCATCAATGTGCTGAATGATCAACATTTAATAAATATTCTAGACACAATGCACGAGTTCTAAAGAATTTGTTCCATGGCAGCCGAGACGTTAATAAAGTCATATAGGCAATGGATAAGATGTTACCTTTTAAAGTAAAACGTTGTTTATAACACTAGAGACCGAATCGAAAGCACTCGGACAACGACGAGGATATGAAATATCAAAGAACTAAAGGACTCTTCTAGAAGATGTCCACCACCCGTTTGTCCAGCATTTCTTCAGACCAGAAGGTTTTATGCGTGTGCAGATCAAGTACGTGAGCGTACATACGAGTTCCAACGAAGATCGGGATTTCCTCGATCGATTCCTCGATGTGCATTCGGCGTAATGAGATAATAAAAGTCAAAGATATATATTACCGAATAATAAGCTCATTAGATGCAGGACGGTTTCTTCCACAAGCATTCTATTATTAACGGTCCGATCAAGTGACAAACTGGTAAACAATGCTGCCTAGTTACGCAAAGATTTTTAACTGTCGCGAAAACCGTTTTGAATTCCCGACACCTGAAAATGATTGTGTACGCATCTGAAACTTTCCGCTTACTTTTACTTTTCGTGTTACGAGGGATGTCTTTTAAGCTTTGCATGTGGAAATAAAACAACACGGTTGGTAGTTTTAAATGACAAAACGGCATTTTTGAATGCGTCAACTGCTTCTTCTGGTGACTGGAACCTTTGACCACGCGGTCTGTTTTTAATTTTCGGGAAAGTAAAGAAA